TTTTTTTTTTTTTTTTTTTTTTGCCAAGCAGAAAAGAAATGGAGCACATGTCATCTCTCTGAAAATGCAAAGCACTTGGATTCTACAGAACTCATTGTGTTTCCTTCGGAGTATACTAATTACGTTTACCCAAGCCATGTGCTCCCAGTTCCAACTGAGAAACATCTACGGTGAAAAAATTCTGCCATGGGGAAGAACAGATTGTGGAACCGGCTGATAAAGGAGGAGCTCCTACGGGGGACAGAGCCCAAGTGCCAACCACTGAAATTCCTTCTGTGTCTGTCAGAGCAGAGAGGTGATGATGGCAAAACAAGAGCTCAAACCAAGTAGAAATTGTTCTAAATTTCTAAAGTGCACGGGCATCTTTTAAGAGAAGAACATATACAATTTTATGATGCCAAGAGATACTGAGGTATCGTAATTGGTTTCTCATCTTTAGAAGTCCTAGCTGGGCCTGATGGCCATTTTGAGCAGCACTGTAATCATAGTGATGGTTACCGTTACACGCCAAATGTTCCTTAGTGTTAAGTCTCTTTGTTCTCAGTCTCACAACACTCCTCTAATTGAGGTATTATTCCCCATGTTAAGAAATGAAATCAATTTAAAATTAAATTGCTCACGATTCTATACCTGGTAAGTTGTAGAGCCAGAATACAAATCTGAGTCTACCTGATTTTGAGGCCTGTATATGCTTTACACCTACCTCATACCATCTCTCAGGGCCAAGATTGTGTTCTCTCCTATACGGCATCTCAAAAGAATGCAGCCTCCAATCAGAACAGGAAGTCCATCTACAAAAGAAAAATATGGTTAACAACATCCAAGGATCATTCCTGTTCTGACGTTCAAAGACAAGGTATCATTTGCATACATGGGCCTCAATCATGCAAGTCTCTACAGAAACAAACCTTAAAAACCTTTTCTGGTTCACAGCTTTTAAAGGCCTCTGATCACAAGATCCCTTTTTTTTTTTTTTTTGCCACCTCCTTACCTCTGTACCCTCTTAATGAAAAGAAGAGCCTAAGCTTGTGACTCATCATATACAAATTTTCTGGATGAGAGAACTGGGCATTCTGTTTCATTAGAGTGAAGGTAAGAATGAGCTTCCTAACCCAGAGATATGGAGCAGTGGATGATTCCTGCCTGGACCTGAGATGAAGTAACATTTGCTCTAAAGGGGTAATTTCCGTATTCCATCAAAAACCTTATAATGAAGGTATCATTAATCTCCTTTTATAAACCTCCATTTACAAACGAGGAAAACTGGAATGCAAAGAGTTAAGTAATTTATTTGAGCTGTAAATGGCAAAGCTAAGATTCAAGCTCCAGCATTCAGGCTCCAAAGTACAGATCTTAGCCACTGTATATTGTACAGTGCTTGCTTTCTAATGCAGTGTCTCATTACCTAGTAGAGATCCACTCCCAAGAATCTAAAGAGCCTAATCAGGGCTGGGGATCTAGCTACATGGTAAAAGACTGCCCTAGCATGTACAAGTCCCTGGGTTCAAGTCCAGCACAGCAAAAAACTAAAAATTAAGACAAATTGAGGAATGGGAAATACAAAAAGTATAGGCTAGGAGACCTCAAAGTATTCTCTGTGGGACGCAAATTCTCAGGGGTGAGAGGTTTTTAGCAAAAGTATATGGGGACAAGAGGAAGCTATTCAAATAAATTAAAGAGTTGTTCTCTTAAACAAAATGGTAATTATTTTCAGAGAGTTTAACAACAGCATGTGACTATTACAAAATCAGGAAGCTCTTTTTATGGGGGGGGAGTTATAAAGAGAAATGCAAGAGAGAATAAAACGGCATTCTGTGAAGTCCCACTGCGAGGAAGGTGGGGGCACTTGAGAGAAGTGCTATAAACCTCCAGTTCTCAACCTCCCCACCCTTACCATTTAGAGCATGGGCTTGGATGATTTCTGAAATTCATCTTTGAGCTTGATTTCTGTAGCTTTAATATAGCTTACAGGTTTCACAATTTTTGAAAAAATAGATAAGTGGATAGACAGAAGATCTGGCTGTTTCCAACAAAGAGATGGTTCCTAGATACCTACTCTGCCTCAGCACCAAGGAAGCAAATGCTTCTCGGCCCAATCCCATAATCTTTTTTTTTTTTCAGCTTTAATTGAGTTTATTGGTACATTTTAGGGATACAGTACAGTTATATTCATTGTTGGGATCTTGTACATCTACATGACAGGTCTTGGTTCTCATTTTTTTCCCTTGTCCTGCCCTCCCTTCACCCCCTCCTCCCCTCCCCACAAACACTTTAATTCCATCTTTTATCTCACATTTTTTTCTTTTCCCTTATTACCCTTCCCCCTACCCATCCCACCTTCCCTACACCTTTAACTCCTTTCTTCCCATTTCACAATGTCAGTAAACTTATTAGGATCTTATGTATTATTGCAGTTTATTCACACCAGAGAAACTATTCGGTATTTACACATGTGTGACTGATTTATTTCACTTAGGAGTATATCTTCAATATGTATCCATTTTCCTATGAATGAATTTATTTTCTCCTTTGTGGCTGAGTAATATTCCATTTCATAGAAAAACTACATCTTCTTTACCCAGTTTCCATCTGATGGGCAAATGGGCTGTTTCCAAGATTTAGCTATTACAAACTGTGCCGCTATAAACATGGGTGTGCATACATCACTGTGATATGATTCTTTTAGTTCTTTTGGAAAGATAACCAGTAGAGGGATGGCTGGGTCAAATGGAACCTCCAGTCGAAGCTCTTTGAGGTATCTCCATATTGATTTCCACAGTGGTTGCACCAGTCTGCGTTCCCACCAACAGTGGAGAAGGGTTCCTTTCTCCCCACAACCCCACCAACATTTGTTGTTGATTTCTTGATAGCAGCCATTCTTTGTGGGGTGAGGTGGAAACTCAGTGCTGTTTTCATCTGCATCTCTCGAATGACCATTGATGTGGAACATTTTTTCATATATTTACTTGCTGCTTTTACTTCTTTGTCTGAGAAATATCTGTTCATTTCGGATGCCCATTTTTGAATAGGGTCTTTATATTTGAGGGGGCTGATTGTTTTGAGTTCTTTAGATATTCTAGATAATAGTCCTTTGTCTGAGGAGCAGCTGGTAAAAATTTTTTCCCACATTGTAGGTTGTCTCTTAGTTCTGCTAATGGTTTCTTTTGCAGGACAGAAGCTTTTTAATAAGATGAGATCCCAGTTGTTGATTCTTTCTGCTACTTCCTGTGCTACTGAAGATTTGTTCATAAAGTCTTTTCCTATGAGATCCAGTTTATCTGTGGCAGGTTGAAATCCAGTTTTTCCAACACCATTTATTAAAGAGGCTATCTTTCCTCCACTGAGGATGGTCAGCTCCTTTGTCAAAGATGAAGGAGCTGAGTACACCAATCCCATAATCTTGAATCTTAAAAAAAGCCAATTGAGAATAGTGGCACAGTCCTGTAATCCCAGGACTCAAGAGGCTGAAGTAAAAGAATCACGAGTTCCAGGCCAATCTGGGCCACATAACGAGACCCTGTGTTGAGCAATCAATCAATCAATACACAAACAAAAGGCAAATAAAACAAAAACAAGAGGGGAAGACGAGCAAGCCGAGAATAATGAGGGTATATAGGACCGCTTGAGCTCTGGAGAAGACTGCAGCTCTCCCTCTTTGAGGATGCGACTATAACTCTCTCCCAGTACTGAAGAGCATAATCTGGCGTCCATGAGAACAGGCTGTGGGGGGCCACAGACATGCTCATCTCTCCCAGGGAGACTTGCAGACCCTCTGGTCTGTGGAACAAGCCATTCTGCGTATTTCCGTAGTATTCCATAAATTGTCTTTTTATAATTTTAATCATGAAAAATCTCAAACATACAAAAATTTAAATACAACACTTTAATGAGTTTCCATGTATTCCTCAACCAAATTCAAGTATGAATGCATGGCCAATCTTGTTTCATTTTGTTCCCCATCTATCTGTCTCTCTCTCTCTCTCTCTCTCTCTCTCTCTCTCTCTCTCTCTTTCTCTCTCTCCACTATGTTATTTTTAAGAAAATCCCAAACAACAAACCATTTCATCACATAATTTTCTCATATATATTGTATACCTCAAAAAGAGGACTCAGGGGCCAGGGATTTAGTTCAGTAGCACTGTGCCTGCCTTGCAAGCACAAGGTCCTGAGTTTGATCCCCAATACCAAATTTAAAAATTAAAAAATTTTATATAAATAAATATTTTAGGCAGGCAGCAGCACCACTGAGCTAAATTCCCAGTCTTAAATAAATATTTTAAAAGAGGACTCAGCCAGACGTTGTGGTGCATGCCTGTAATCCCAGCACTTGGGAGGCTGGGGCAGGAGGATCACTGTGAGTTTGAAAGGCCCTTAAATTTCTCAGAATCCTTTGCTACTGAAGATGATGATATTAAAAACAGAAGAGTATGATAGCTCTGTTTGGCAGTGTACTTCAAGACAGATTTTTATATTCTTTTGTTATTTATTTTTAATGTAATTTCACTGAGGTCAGAGAAATAATGGTCATAAGCAATTGAATCTACTCTCTGAAATTTGATGGCACTTTCCTTGCTCTACTTATATGGTGACTTTTAATGACCAACAGATATTTTATTTAAATGTTTTATTTGTTGAGTACAAAAAGTTCTCTTGATTCATTAGATCAGAGAGACTGAAGATTATGGCACTGGGGCCAAATCTGGCCTGCTGCTTGCTTTTGTAAAGTTTAATGTGAACACAAGCGCACTCAATCATTTAGCTGATCCTCACCGAAAATAGTCTGCCTTCACTTTAGTAGATGAAGCTTTTAATTATGTGATTTAAAATTTTATATTCCATCCTAATTTGCACCTGTTTAATCTGTGTTTCTGATACTGGTATGAAAAAAATGTCTTACTATACCTATGGATGTACCCATTTCTTCTTATAATTCTGACCAATTTTGGTTCATGTTTTTGGCCCTGGGAAGTCCAAGATCTTCACTCTCTCCATACTGTTGCCTTTGTACTTCTTTGGACTTCTTTCACTCTCTGTAGTCCCAATCTCCAAGAAACAAATTCCAAGCTTTTTGAGTGCTTCTCTTGTATTTGACTTGAGGAAAGTACTCAGTACATAGCAGCTGTTGGTAAAAGAAAAACTAGAATGTTTCTATGTCCTATTGGCAAGCTTCCTGTTCCACTCTGTAAACCCAGCTTCTTTCTTACCCCAAACAAAATTATCCTTACCCTTCTCTAAAAAGGTGGCTGATGCTGGTTAGGGCCATGATTGTGAGAAGGACTAAATTTCAGTGATTTTTCCACACAGAGTAGAACAAGCATTTGGAAAGTGACTGGTGGGATTATTGGAGGGAAGATAATTTTCCAGCCACAAAGACTGGCCACAGTCTGAATATTACTTGTCTCCTCTACTCTGAGTCCTATATCTTCTTCCCTTCAGAAGGGAAGACAACAGACCTGGAGGAAGAATCACACCTGGGCAGTGACCTCTGGAGTGATATACAGATCCCTATGGAGCAAAAGGAGTCACCTTGGGAAAGGTACAAGCTGTCTGGTGGTGTAAAGACTAGGAGGAAGAGAAACTACATTATGGTGTTCTTAGATACTTGCCTAAGTACTTTGTCAGTATTTTGACTATATTATCCAACCCATTTTTTAAAAATAGTCTTGAGGAAGCATCAGTATTTGGTTCTACAGATAAGGAGACTAAGCCCCATAACCTAGCCAGGTTACACAGCTAACCTTTAGGTTAGAACCAGAATCTGAACTCAGCTCATTCTAACTGTAGCCCTTTC